GTGAATCCGAATCCCAATTGAATGATGTGTTGTGTTCGGTTATATTTCCAAGCTGGCATGCCATAAATTCATTTTCGATGGCGCCCACGCCTGCGTTTAAGGGGCGAGATGACTGACAATCGCATTTAGATGTCAGAAAAAACTATTTTTAATTTCACACCTCGCTGTGATTTACGAGGGCAGGAAAACGATGCTGCTCGGCAGAGACTGAACCTTTGGGCCCGGAGGGGAGTCCTCCCAGTCCAGGGTAAGTACAGAATTCAACGGATCGTTGGTATTATTTTCCACTGTGGCTTGCTGAAAGGGGACTCAAATAAAAGTCTGCGATTACAGTAGCCATACGCTGTAATGAGCCCCAGCATCCTATTTTCTTGCCAATTAAATTACTTTGACCCATTTCCCGGGGCAACTCGATGGAAAAGCGGAAAAGTGCATATGGTTGGGGATCGCAGGGAGTGATGTGTGCCAATGGAGCCACCTGCCATTGAAAACCCAAACAAAACATCCTCGCTGCCGCTGCTTCCTGTTGTCCGCAAATGAAAATTGAAATGAAAATGGAATTAAGCACAGAGGCATTGCTGAAAGACAGAAGTACTCACAGTGCTGCAGATACATATAAATACATATATGCATTTACATATATATGTATAAGTCTAAGCAAATATATAATGGTATATCTTTTTTGTGTTCTCAAAGACACAAGACAGGAGCGGGATGAGCGAAAAGGAAAAGGCGGAAATTCACAGGACCAAATAAAAGTAAAAGTATCTCAGGGCTCGCTTTTAGGAATATGAAAATATTATTCAAAATATTATTTCATTTTAGTCAGAAACATTGCAAAGCCTTCTAGTCCACATTATAAAGTTATCCAACTATCTAGTCTGGCTATTTTGAGTAATCGGGCTCATATGGCGCGAATTGGCTGTCAGGAGATAATACGATATGGAATGGGAATGGGATTGGACTGAATGTGGCCTATTGTTTGTGGTGCTGCTGATTTTGCGTGCCGGCAGGACCTCCATCATCTCCCCACCATCCCTTTCCGCCACTAGGAGTCCGTATCCTTCTGTTTCTGTCTGTCAGTCAGCGAATGTGTTTTGAATTATTGCGCTGTACATTCGAAAAGGATGATGATACCCTACCCCCTGCGCAGCTCAAGTGAAAAAAGATGGCCAAACAAAGGAATATTGTGACAAGGATTTATTAGTGTGGAGAAAGAGGTGTGCAGCAGGACCATTGTCCATTGTCTTTTCATCCCAGGGGTGGATTTTTCAGCAGGATGATTCCTTTAGCTGGGTCTGAGGGTCGTGTCATAGTGCAATTATTGCTCATTGCAACAATCTGCTCCTTCTTAAGAGGCTGCCTTAAAGTTTCTCATCCGGGAAATCGGATCCAGGCACCCAATTAGGCGGGTGTTAGGTTTCCTACCTTCACATTCTCTACTCCAACCTCTTTAACGAGTCCGAGAAGGGGGCAAACTTTAGGCCAATTTACCTAATGGCTTTGGTTATAAGCTGGACATGGCGACTAGCGCTAGGAACGATCTTTTTAGCCAAGAATAATGGGCCAAATCTGCCGCTGCGAAAGTTTTATTGCAATTGCCAAATTAATTTGCCTGCCAGAACTTTGCGCAGCGGCAGAGGGAAGAGACAAAAATATAAGGAGCCCCACAAATGTGCGTTCATTAATTTAATTTTTCATTAAAGAAAAGCAAACGCTCCCGGGCCAAAACAAAAAAAAAAAGTGTCATAAGACCGCCCATAAAAAACAAACACAAAAGGGGGAACAGAAAAAAATGTATATTTGACCATAAACAAAAGGCCGCTCGAAAGGCATTCATATTATTCGAAGCGGAAAATGGGAAAAGGTGGGCAAACGGCGGAGAGGTATCACCTTTTATTTTAATATTTCGGCCATTAAAAAACGTTTCACAGCAGCGGTAGGTATTCAGTTCCGATTCCGATTTCGATTTTTTCTTGGGACGTCGCCAAACATCAGCGCCATGGAGAGCAAAATGCCATTCAGACCAATGGAATCACGACGAAAAATGTCTCCAGAAGAAAAAGTTGAACGCTGCCGATACAGATAACCAATTACGTAATACACTGCAATAATAAGTTGGTTGTCCGTGTTTTACATTTGATTAAAAACCAGATGTTTATTGTAAATCCGTTTCATTATAAATCATGTTTTAGTATGAAGCATGCACCCGAAAGGGTGAAGGACTGCTGTATAAAGAAGTCGTCAAACAATTACGCTTAAACATTTTTTAGTAACGCCCCACGAAAGGGGCGTGGCACCTTTTTGGAACTACAAACTGTGAGGCCTCCAAAAATGTCGGACGAAGATTGGGAAGGGCCTTCAGATTAATGACATGGCAATTTTTACGATTGTTGGCCAAGTTTTGTTGAAATAAAGTTCCTCCGCCCGATGGGTTTTCTTCACGTGCTTTTCCGCGCTTTTCCAGCATTCCGCTCGTTTCCCTTTCACTAAATTTATGAAATTTCACCTTTCGGCCAAGCAATTTGCTCCATTTACATTCTTTATTAGCCACCGCAGTTTACCAAGAGTTTTCCGGGGGGCAGAAAAGAAAAATTGTTTGAAAAGAATTTTTGTGCAAGAAACAGGGGAAACGGAACAAAGTATTTTATTCTGGTTTTCCTCTGTTCGGTGCGGGGCAAAGTGAGGATCAAGAGAATTAAAATAAGTAAACTTATATTTGCAGTATAAATCACTAATGAAACGATAAAAACCTTTGACAATATTACCACTTAACAAGGCAAAGTATTTTTAAATATTTTAGTGCCCTAACACAATTAAGTAACTTGTTGACAAAAGCACAGCATATCGTTCACATGCTGAATGTATTTTGTTATCGACTGCACTGTAAATGCTGCAAATTGCACATATGAGGTAAAAGTGTAATTAAGTCAAAGCACAATGAATAAATTCAGTTAAATGCAGGGAGAAATTGTAGGGAAACTATTTACTGACCAAATGCACCATCAAGTGAATTGGGAAGCATGCGTTAAAGCCACATTTGTTTCTATCAAAACTCGGCAGAGTCTACCTTGGCATTTCGTTGACATTTTTCGGACGAAGTTGCTGGGCAACGTAATTTTGCAACCCATTTTCCCAAGCCTTCACTCATGTCCTACAGAGACAGGGAATTTAATAAATTCATCATCTTTCATTTAGTCTGGTACACAGATCAAAAAAGAACAAGAAATGAAGAATGAAAATCATTAAAAAAAGACAACGTGGGGCAGGGGGATAAAAAATTGTAGAAAAAGAAGACACATAAAAAACCAAGGAAAAGAGCGAAAAAATACAAAATCGTGACTGTCATTTCAACGAAGCGAAGTTATTTTTCATGACAAAGCAGCCGAAGAGGAAAACTCCTCCGACTCATTTCCCGACATCTGAAGAGGAGGGGGAGGGGGACGGGGACGGGGGCGGGTTGGAAAAGGAGGCATTCCAGCGTTAAAATACCTTTTACTGGCGCATTATTCCCCTCTAGTTTTTGGCCCGCCCCCAAGTGAAAACCAAAATGCAGGCGACTTCGCTGCGTTTTTCATGAAATTATTACGACTTTGGAAATGGGGTCGTACAAAATGTCGTTACGTTGGCGGAACAAAGTTATATAGTCCCTGCTGCTGTCCAGAGAACTCGTTGTAGTTTATTGTTGAAAATTTCTTTATTGTATCTGCGGAAAACGCGTGGAAATTGTAAACGGTTGAAGCGGGAAATTGAGCCACAGGAAAATTGAAACAAAGATCGTTACAACTAATTTCTAGCTAGTTGGCGAATCCCAAACCCTCCTAGATTCCGTAAAAGTTAAGTAACGCCTGCTCATCTATTTCAAGGATTGTTTTCTTATGATCATGATCAGATACTTCTGGCAGAGAGATTCTCACGCACCTCTGTAGATCAACTGACCCACTTGATCCGATTTAAAAGCCAGCCTGGTCATTATTGTCGACGTCTAGACGGCGAAGAAAACTGTCACTGTCACTCTTGCATCTCTTGAATCGAAGGCTGTCTCATTCTTCTGGATTTATTTGCCTCGTTTTGATGCCAGATCTTTGTCACACACGCGCGTTAGGATCGCATTAAAAAGCCATAAAAATAAAATAAAAAAGAGCGACGCTTTACTTTTATTTTTACGGTGACAGTTGTACTATGCGAGTATGTGGAGTAGCTACTACAATATGTGGAACTTTGGCTTTTCGCTGCGACTCTCCTTTTCTTCGGCTGCTTTCTCGCATCATCATCATCATTATCATCATTCCGTCGTCTCGTGATGAAGGCCATAAAAAATCTAATAAGCGTGAAATAATTGACATTTAAGCAAAGCGCACGCACATAAACAATGGACTTGGTTTTCGAGTTGGAGTTGGAGTTGGAGTTGGTTTCGAGTTGGCCCGTAGACCAAAGAACAAAACGCATATACTCGCATATAGATATTCCCCGCACTTTGTAGGCCAAGTGTCTGAGAATCATAACAGATGACCGCACGTACATTTCACGTTCCACGTTTCACGAGCGACGAAACCGCGACCAAGATACTTGTACATTGTCCAGGAAAAGATCGTTCCCCATTTCTGGGTCATGAACCAAAAATGAAGGGAACCGAACCCGAACCACAAATAATAATGAGTTGGAGTTTTGTACTCTGGTGGGAGATGCTCATTCGCATTCTTGGCACCACTGGCGCATTTCGTCACCTGTTTTTAGTTAGAAGTAAAACAAAAATCGACGTGATGGGCATGCAAATTGGGCGTAGAAAGGTCAACTACTTAGCGATGGGAGCGATTAGCAGTGTGCAGGGTAATCAGGTCATAAAGATGAAATGATTAAGATTACCGAAGTGGAAAACAACGTGGAATTTGTATATTTCTATAGTTGCCAATGCCCATAACTTCAACGTACATATGTACGAGTGTATTTTGTGTGCCTATTCAACTATAACTAAAACCTCTTCCTCTCTTCTTTTGCAGCCAACACGGGAGCTGCAGCCTGGACCATATATCCAATGTTCCGAATTTAAATGGTGAGTGCAAAATAGAGTGTGAAATGCATTTATAAAAGGCATGGCTGGTACCCCTAAACTAAATTGCTTTCCGGCTCAGTTGGGTGTGGACGTCGGAGGGTTTGGGTTTCGGTTTGGGTTGGGGTTGGAGTTGGAGTTCGGGTTGGGGTTGGGGTGCCAGGCAGGCTTACCTATAAACCAAAATGAATGTCTGTTACTCGACCACCGCCCGCTGAGCTCAAAAATGGAAAATAGTGGGAAGACAGACAGGGGCTGGGGTACCAAAGGAAGTAAATGCAAATAGATGCCTCGCTTTCATAGACAGATGGACTGGCTGGTTAGCCCCATGGAAATACCCCCTGCTGGATGCAACGCTAACGGGGGTGATGGGGTCTGGTCAGGGCTTTGGAATGTGCCAAGCCTCATCGTCAACGTCACTAAAATCATCACCAGCATTCCACTGTGTGGCGACGTTAAAACACAACACTTTGATTCCTCCACTTAGGAGCTGTCGCCCCTCTTTTATCAGAGCTCCGCTCCGCTGACGATGGCGATGCGTCACTTTGCGTGGATGTGGGGATTGGGGTCACCATTCAAAGCTGGGGGTGTGTCATTGCACCGCATTGCAATGCACCCTTTGATTTAATATGCCACCGTATAAACAAATTCAGGCAACGTACAAAGCTACGGCAAACTTAAAGTTCAATAGCAAATAAGAATGGGCTTACCAGAGCCCATGACCTTTCCACGGAAAATCTGCCCCCGACTGCTTCCCCTCCCCGGTCTGCTGCCATTACGCTGACCAAATATTGCCACAAGCTGTTGGCTAAATTCTCGTCGAAAGAGAGAGAGAGACACTGTGCAAAGTCAACTGTGCAATCATTTGCACAACTAATAATTCACTTTAGTGTCTCGTTCAGGACAAATATTGGAAAACAGACGACAGGACAGGAATGGAAATGGAAATCCAGAGGGCGGGCGTGGAAAGGCCTTCGCAAGACATTTGCGATTGTCATTAGCGAAAAGAATGGCAATGCAATCCCCGAAAATAGGGAAACCAATCCACAAGATTGGCATCTCGAATGGCAGTCATGCTTGGCCTTTTGAAATTAAACCCGCCGAGTTGCCCGCGAAAATGTCAACAAATTGTCGTTAACTACAAGCGGCTTACTTGCCAGTTTTGTGTTTTCTCCCCATTCCTACAATGTTTTATTGCGTGCCTCTGTGAGTTTTAGCGATCTCAACTTCGACTCCCATTAGACGAACGGCCTTGAATCTAAGCAGCCGATTGATTCCCACAATGAGTTAGGCAAATTGTTTGCATTGAATACTGCGCGGCCTTTATTTAACTAATTGCCGGGCCTTCTGGCTAGATGAGCTGGAATCCTACAGTCTTACTGGCCAAATGAAGTTCCGCTGTATCTTTAGAGTCTGATGGAAAAACCTCTTCTCCATGTACGAAACGATGAGTTGGTGTTCTGCTTGATGACCAACTACTAGTTGGTACTGAAACTCAGTGCCGAAATGCTTTCCATTCGCATTCAGTCGCTCTTTGAAAACTATTGACAGAAAGCCGCACATCAGAAAGCCGGCGTCATTCACCTTCAAAATAAAATCATGTCGCGTTTAGTGAAGCGGAAAAACCAGTAATTAAGTGCCCTGCCGGCTTTTCGCTTTTCCATGCGGCCACCAAAGCAAAATTCAGCCGACCCAGTGCGAACAATTTGTAATTGAAACTTTCATTTTCATTTCCATTTCCATTTTCTCCTACTGTTCGTCGTTCGGCTGACATGAAAAACTGGCGACGTCACTTCCATTCGGTTGGCTGAGCAACAACAACAACGTGCTCTGTTGCAAGTTGCTTATCACTTCGATGCGTCTGATACGTTTCATTGGCCCGACAATGTCACAATTACATGCACTGCCCATTACAGGTAATTTCAATCACGCTGCACTTGGGCAACAGCAGTCCGTGCAAAAGATTCGATACGACCGCGTTTTCGGCTTAGTCTCAGTTCAACTTTATTTGGGGCTCGGCGATAAAGATAGAAATAAAAATAACAATTAAAAGATAAAGAGACAAAAATATGGGCGATGGGAAAATATCATCTGGCCCACATCATGTTGTATATCTGATAGATTTGCTCGTGGTTTCTTCCCACGTTTCGATATCGGAGTTAATAATTTGAGAGCATGTTCCATTTTGTCATCTTGCCTCTCTTTCTCGGCAGCCCTCTCGCTCGCACTCGCTCGCCACTGCGTCTTAAGTGAGGCAAAGGCAAATTGGTTTGAAACCCGATGACATCGAAATCGCGTTGCTTCCGCCGTATTTGGTTGTCATTGTCGCCAGTGTCTCTGCTCCTCCCCTGCCTCCCGCCCCCGAGCTGCAACTCGTAACTGGTGACTGGTAACTGGCAACTGGTAGCCGGTAACAGTTAACTGGGTGCAGTCACTGAATCCGCAAGGGTTGGCTATGGGCTAATGAATGACATGCTATCCTAATGAATGACAAGCCTTGCTCTTGCACTCGCCTTGGCGGCTACACTGCGACAAACGCTGGTCCAAAAGCGCACATTCCCTTAGCTGTGGGTGCTCGTCCAAGTTGGCGAGACACGCTCGTTTCGCGCAGTGTATGCCTTTGCTACCTGAGCAAATCAATGGCTTGGCTTAAACAAATGATGAAATACGATATTTGTCCTCGACGCCGCTTGGTTTTCCCATTGGATAAGTTGTTGTTGCTGTCGCTGGCAGGGAAACTCGAGCCGAAACTAACGGTTTCCACCTGCATCCCATGCACTGCAAGAAAAAAGCAGAGGCTGAAAGCAAGTGAGGGATAGCTCCCACTAACAGTTGGTCATTGCAAGTCTAAACTACGCTTGACTACGCTCGAAATGAAAATCAAGCTCTATAAATTACCCATACGACGCGTAAGCCAACTTAACTTGTCGGCGGCCACCGTAAAGTTGCCTGTAAATGAACAAAAAATAATTAAAAATGCATTTTTCATTAAGGCATTAAAACTCACGAGCCACGCGAGGGGCGGGGAAGGCGGTCATTCATTTATTTCATTTATCTTTGGGGTTGCCCGAACGCGAACTGTGAATCGCGGATTGCGAACTGCAAACTGCGAAATGCGAAATGCGAAATGCGAACTGCAAAGTGGACTGCGGCCTGCGAGTTCATTGATGACGGTTCTCAGAGATGGAAGGAATACTTACAAGTTCTTAATTTTTAAAATTGTACTACTTTTCAAAGGTGCTCGCAACGCAGAGACGGAAAAGTGCTGTCACCAAATGTACATATTCTTTAGCATTTTCATTCGGGAAAATCTTGTGTTCAATTTTTCTCGATTAATTGTACTTCGTGGGTCCATCTCTATGAAGCTGGCGAAATGCGAATTGGGAGTTGCGTTTATGTCATTTTGAAATTATCATTAATGCCCCGAGGGGTGAGTGGTGAGGGGTGAGGGGTTGGGGCAAAAGAGGCGGGAAGCAGGCAGGCGGGCGCAGATATGACCACTTCATTTTGCAAACAAACGGCGGCAACAACAATTTGTGCGGGGAAAACGACAGGGGGAAAGGCTTGCGGCGCGTGACGGTCATTGAAACAATGCGCGGAAAAACGCGTGTAATTAAAACAATAAAAAGCGGCAGCAACAACACAGAAGCAGCAACAACAGAACAATAAAATGTTCAGTTAAGTTTTAATTTTCACAAGTGTGAAAAATACTTTTGAAAAGGCCGCGCACATATGTATGTACATATGCGAAATACAAAGCGCGCCTTGCCAACGAGCCACTTCCGCCCAACAACAAACACAACGCAGATAAAAACACCCACGATAAGAACACCACTGGAGAAAAAGAACAGCATCATCGTACGTACAACACCTGAAAAGAACAACTCTTGAAAAAGTGGCAATGGGAAGAATTGCCCGCTTTTTGCTACTGCGAACTGTTGAACTATATGACCAGTGAACAGATCGGAAAAAGAAATGCGGCGAGTTTTCCCTAAGGCATTGCTCGGATTTCAATCTAATGGATAGTATCTACTTTTGTAGTAAGTAAATCTAGCTGAAATGCGATTGAACTTCAATTGCCAATCGATTCCCACAGAGTCGTCCTTAATTAGCAGCCAAAATGGAAAGGCTTACCATAAAATTGAGCGGGAATCCAAAAGCCTGGTGGAAACACAATGGAAACACAGTTTGGCAATCGACGGCCCACGCCATTTGCGTTTTTATAAGCGATCGTGGCATGTGCCGAAATATTGCCTCCATTTGCCGCGAAATGTGGCAAGAAAAGTGAATGTAAATGTCTGGCTGATATTTTCCCAGCCATGCATGTACGTGTACTCCACGTCCATAATATACATATATTGTACATAGATACAAAGATGTTTGAGTTTGGCGACGAAAGAGAAAAGATTTTGGCAACTTTTGTGGCAAGTCACTTTTTGTGGTAATTGCGCAATGCTGCCCGGAATGACGGCAAGATGTAACCGCTGAAAATCGGAAGCGGTCAAATGACTCAAATCAATTTTCGGCGGAGACAGCTGCAGTTTGCTTTATTTGTACATTTCTATGTGACGTAATCAAAGTAAATAAATAAACTGGCGAGCGCGCCAGTTGAAAGAAATCAAAATCAAGCGGAAGAAGCAGAAATGCCAATCATGCGCGCTAATAACAGAAACAACAAAACATGTCCTAAGACGATGATTATGATGATGATGATGCTCCAGCTGATGGCGGAGATGAAGATGCCAGAAATCAATTTGATGCAGTGCAATCAAAAGTTGAAATTGAGGTGCGGACAGCTCGTTGAGTCTGCCCGATGCACAGTGGCGAAATCTGCAGCAGTTGTGCCCTCGGATTAGGTGCACACATCACTAGTCTTCAACTTGCCACGGATGGCAGCACTTTTAGCAGCGACTTGAATGCATCAAGTAGGGAAATTGGGAAATTGCCTTCAAACTGCACACGGTTCTCTTAGGCCTGATGGCATTCTGATGGTAAGCACTATG